TGGTGTGCCAGGTAGTGAGACAATGGGTCTGAGGGGTCCCCAATTTGTGTACCTTGGGGAGTCCATAGAAGCGAGAAAACCAGCAAAACCAGTATAATACACAAAATACCATGCGGGGACTGTGAGAAACACTATGTAGGCCTAAACTGGAAGAAAACTGACAATATGGATACACAAACACCAATTAACCACCAAGAGACGCAACCAATTCTCACTTGTTTCACTACACACGGACAATGAGGGACACTAATTTGACTGGGACAACATATCCATAATTACACAAGCCAAACAGAACCACACCAGGGAATTCCTGGAGGCCTGGTATTCTAACCAGAACTCCATCAACAAACACGTTGAATTAGACCCTGTGTACAAATCACCGAGAAATAGAACCAGAAATGGTATCAAAGACCCCAACAAATTGATGCACATAAATAACAAGCGGGACAGAACACCGACCCTTCACCAGAGGTGCACAGACTATGTTACCTAACAGGGTGATGAAACGTTTGCAACCAAACCCACTAGCTCGGCGAGCATGTCTGCAACCGCATCCACAACCCGAGCTACAAATCTTCTCAAACTTTGGATTTTACGTTAAGATTTTTACTGTAGCAAACAATCTAAAATCAAAATCAACTAAACATTTCTTAGCAGGCAGCTAATTTACAAAATTACAGAAAAGTTAGTCCCAATTAACTTGTGAACACAATTGAAAACCCAATGCCACCTTTAAACATTGCATCAAATGCTCTATAGAGATGTAATCTTGTGATTAAAATCCAAAACTCCTCCTGGATTTAATATAATCTTTTCTCCATGCTTCACAAGAGTGAGTATTCCAATGTCCTTCTTTCTTTTAAAAAAAATGTTCCCTTCAAACAACAATTGTAAGCATCAGCAATTGACGCCTGTTGCAAAGATCCTCCAGGGATTCTGTAGTCTTTAACTCTTCACATTCTTGTTTGCCTGAACAGGGATTCCATCCTTACTGTGTGGTAATTGACCTAAAAGCAGCCCTTGTTTCTGCCTGGCCAAGGACTGGTTATAGCTATTTTTCTTCAAATTTCTTGGCCTGACAACGCATTCAGGACAGCAGTAAGGCTTCCTTCATCCTACTATTGTGTGTACTTTACTCTCAGTTAGGTTTTGACCTCAGAAAGGCTTGCCTCTGGGTAGATTCTGCAGGAAGTCCCACCCACCTCTCCAAAACAATCCATCTAATCTTGAATTAAGGGAGACTGTTCATAACATAACAAGGTTATATCATCCAGCATTCTCAGTATAGTTTGGATATTCTCAAAAACGTCTCATTAGCAAGAATTGCAAAACTAATCTGTATAATTCAGTGATCGGAAACACTTTAAATCTTGGTGAAAGTCAAAACTGAAGGGAAATAACTGGCAGAATTTTAAAACTACGTGCTTGTTGAGGAAACCAATGGGATCAGATGCAACATTGGTTATATATGGCCAACTTTAGACATTTTCTAATCAACCTATTCAGAGATGTTATTATATACTTTGGAGAAGGTGAGACCTGAACCCAGGCCTCCTGGCTCAGAGGTAGGATAACTACCACTGCACTAAAAGAGCACTTTGGCATGTCTGATTTTATTCTTTCCCCTATTTGGGGAGGCAATGGCATAATGGTATTATCACTGGATTATTATTCAAGAGACCTAAATAAAGTTCATAGCAGATGGTGGCATTTGAATTCTATTTAAAAAATTGGAATTATGAGTCTAACAATGACGATGAAACTATTGCCAAATGTTGAAAAAACCCATCTGGTTCACTAATGTCCTTTCAGGAAGGAAACTGCCAGTCTTACCTGGTCTGGTCTACATGTGACTCTAGACCCAGGGCAATGTGGTTAACTATGAATGGACAATAAATGCTGGCTTGGTGGAAATGCCCTCATCCCATGAATGAATAAAAGAAAAAAAAAATCAGGGGACCTGAATTTCATTGGTAGAGCTGCACTTATTGCCTATTGTGAATTGCTCTAGTGAAAACAGTTGTGTACCACCTTTTTGAATAGATTTAAGTAACTTGCTAGGCCGTTCCAGCAACTGTACACTTTGTTGTAAAGCTGGACACACACCACATAGGCCAGATCAGATAAAGATAGCATCTTTCCTGCCTCAGTCTGGTAGTTTTATGGTCCCCTTCACTGATACTAGCTTGTTATTCCAAATTTATTTAATTAATTAAATGCAAATTGTCAGTGACCGTGGTGAGGTTTGAACCTATATCTCTAAAGCCCTTAGATTGCTAATCCAGTAATGTGGTTAAAACCGCCATCCAATGTGCTTGGCTTCAAAGGAATGGCTGGGGTTTGACATCGTTTCAATCTCTCCTGTCAATCCTAATATTTAACAATTTCATCTGCCTTTGCCCTTCGTTTTGTATTTTCCTTCCCGAACCTTTTTCAAAATCTCTACTTTTCTCTCTATTCCTTTAAGGTGCTCTTGAAAACCTACCTTTTTCTCCAAGATCATGGCTATCTGTCCTAAACATCGCTTGGCACCTAATTTCCTTTCAAGCATTCTTGTGAACTGTTTTGAAATTTAAATTGTTATATAAATATAAACTGTTCTATTGTACAGCTGCTATTCACTGCTGCAAATGAAAGGAATTTTAAATTGTGGAAAGTTATTTACAGCACAGAGGAGGCCTCTGCCCTTCACATTCTTGCCAACTCTCTGTAAAATAAACTATTTAGTCTCATCCCTGCTGTGCAGTTGTGTCCCTGGAATTTCCAATTTCCTTTTGAAATCAATGCCTATGTTTTTAATGAAGTTAGGGGACATGGGCTTTGGCTGAGCCAGCATTTATTACACATCCCTAATTGCCCTTGAGATGGTGGTGGTGAGCTGCCTTTTTGAACCGTTGCAATCCATGTGTCGTAGGTAAACCCACAATGTTGTTAGGGAGGCAGTTCCAGGATTTATTTCACAGCCAAAATCACTACAGCACATTACCTGATCATTAACGCTGTGCCATTTTCCAGAGTTTACTCTGCACAAAATTGGAGGACCCATTCACCACATAACATTTCAAAGTACTTAATTGGCAGCAGATTTTCAAATATCCATAGATTGCATAAAGAGCAATTGAAATGAAAGCTTTTTTTTTGGTTGCTATTACAATTCTGATTCTTGTGCATCCCTGACTTTAATTGTTTTGATTGCGTAAATTTTATGCCCTGAATTCCCTCCCTACTCAGTTCCGTCTCTACACTTTTTCTCTCTGTTAAAATGCTTCTTAAAACCTGGCTCTTCGACCAGATTTTTAGTTACCTGTTCTGAAATCTCAATGTGGCTAAATGTCAAGTTTTATTTGCTGAAGCTCTAGTGTAGGACCTTGGGGAGTTTTACTTAGGTAGAGACGGCAAGTTGTTATTGTATAGTCTTCCTTACTGTCCTGTTTTGACACCATCACCTTGGTAACTTGTTATGATCTCTCTACCTTAATTAGTTTGCACAGTTTTGGATTACTTGCTACTTTGGTTAGACCCTTGGCATGCAACTCTTATATCTATCATGTTTTTCCAGCTATTTGGTTTATCTCCAGCACCACTTTGTTTTTCTCATTTGCAATTATCTCTCTGTCTCAGTTAATTGGATCATAGGTCATCCCTTCACTTGCTATTCAGCTGATGACACTCTACTCGCACCGTCTGACATTTTTGATCACCTGCAGAGATTTGTTATTCGGCCTGTCGACACTCCACTCACACCATTTGTACGATCTTTTGATCTTTCTGCCTATAAATTCTGTGCCTGTGTACTTCTCTTCACTCCACCAGAAGAAGGAACAGTGCTCTGAAAGCTTGTGATTTCAAATAAACCTGGTGGACTATAACCTGGTGTCGTGTGACTTCTGACCTTGTCCACCCCAGTCCAATACTGGAATCTCCATATCATTGTATAACTACTTCTTTTTATCATTTTCTCCATCTAAAATGATCAAAAGAAATTCAGCACTGATCATAGATCATAGATCATAGAATCCCTACAGTGTGGAAACAGGCCCTTCGGCCCAAAGGTAAGAACTAAAGATCAGTTGCCGTGATAAAAGAGCCATAAATTAATAAACAAGGCCACTGGTTTACACTTTTCCTGAAAATCTGAATGAAATTGTGGTACTTGAGCTTCAAATATGGCATAGTGGTTAGCACTGCTGCCTCCCAGCGCCAGGAACCGGTTCTATTCTACCCTTGGGCGACTGTCTGTGTGAGTTTACATGTTCTCCCCGCGTCTGCATGTGTTTCCTCTGGGTACTCCTGTTTCCTCCCACAGTCCAAAGATGTGCAGGCTAGGTGGATTGGCCATGCTAAATTGCCCACAGTGTTCAGGGATGTGTAGATTAGGTGAGTTATAGGGGGATGAGTCTGGGTGGGATGCTCTGAGGGTAGGTGTCATGTCTCTGTAATACCATAACATATTTGCCTTGAGTATATTCTTTGATGTAATCAAAATTTTATGTTGGACTATTCATTTTCAAGTTTTTGATACCATGTCAATGCTATTAATGATGCCTTTCACCAAAGCAAAGTCCGAGACTCTCCTCCCTTCCCTTGTTGCTTTAAAGTACAGCATCAGAACATAATTTCCCAAGGTGATCTGGTGTCTAAGATTGTAGCTGTCTAGTAATGACTGCGTACTGCTGAATTGTTCACCACCATAGGCATGGTGGCTTTATATCCAAGTTCCCTTAAACTCAAATTACATCAACCAAGCTGCCTGGTACCAATCTTCAGAGTTCTCACAAAGTATTTGTCGTGAGCAGAAGTTATTCTTAAGAACACAACTTCCTGCCTGAGATTAACATAGATTCAAGCTGACCTCTGACTAAATGTTGTGAGAGTCAGTACCTGAAGAAAAGCATGACAATCAATTACCGTAGTGAGATAATTGTTGATTGTCAGTGTGTGTGTTGCACATTTGACATGGATATACTCAAAAGTGCAAAGCTTTTTGTGTATTTTTTCAGAAAAATTGTGGAAAGGATAGACGCCAACCAGGATCAGTTTGTAACCACTGAAGAACTGAAGGCATGGATTATACGAGTGCAGAAACGTTATATTTATGAAAATGTAGCGAAAGTGTGGAGGGACTATGACCTGAACAAAGACAACAAAATTTCCTGGGAAGAATACAAAAAAGCGACGTTTGGCTACTACCTTGGTACGTCTACTGTGGTCCAATACTCCTGTCTGTTAATCTGTTGAGTACTATCTGAATGGACATGGTAAATATCAAGTTTATAATATGATTCGGATTAAGTTAGTGATTCTGGAACTCTACCAAGGAGCTCATGGGTATAGAGTTAAAATCCCATGACCACCACAACAAGCTGTTTTTTTAAATGGCTTTAATGTAAGAAAACATTCCAAGACACTTCAGAGAAGCATTGTAAATAAAAATTAAATAAAATTATATTTTATTTGATAAAATAATAAAAGTAAGTAAAAAGAGAATTTTAAAGGAGAAGAGGCGAGACAAAGGGAATTCCTGAGCTTGGAGCCTAGGCATCTGAAACTCAGTCATCAAATATGTGAGATTAAAGTGACGATTCTCAAAGCCAGAATTAAATGAGTGCAGGTATCTCTGCAGGTGGGGGGAGAATTGGAGGAGGTTTCTGTGATAAGGAGGACTGAAGACGTGTAAGTGTTTAAAGACAAGAATGAGAATTTTAAAACTGACGCAGTGTTTGATTGGGAGCTACAGTCGTACAGTGAGCAACAATGGGACAATATTCAGTGTGAGTTAGAACATGAGCAGCGAAGTTCAGATGATTTCAAGTTTTCAGAGGGCAGAACATAAGAAGTTGCTTAGGAGTGTGATGGAACAGTCCAGTCTAAAGATGTCAAACTATATGTACAAGTCTTTCATCAAACACAAATATCAATCAAAGCTCAGGACTGCTGGATTAATGTAGACAATAATTAGGTGGAGTGGCTGGTGTTATGATATAATCTTTTGTACAACAGTGAGCCAAAATCAAACGTAGTATTTGGGGAAAATAGGGTTAGAGGGTGGGAAAAATGAGAGGTTAAGAGTTATTAGAACAGAGTTCACATACCATAATTTGGCATGCATCTTGAAGTCATATATTCTTGCCATTATTTTTACATTTGCATTGTAAACTGCCATGGTGGCACTCTATCCATCAGGATATATAGTGTAGCAAGTTTGGATAAGCTGTTTCCTTTGTAAACCTGGGTGCAAGCATTCATATTTGTTGAACGGGTGTAGGGGTCTGAACGGGTTAATACTGAGAGAGCCTTAAGCATCACCACTAGGATGTTGTCATGTGCATTTACAGACAAAACAGCTTTGGATTTCAGGGAAGAATGACCTGACATCTAGGTCCTCGTCATTTTCTGTGGCAGTGTCTATCTGATCAATGTAAGCCTTAACTAGGTCCTTACTAGTTCTTGTTCAATACAACAGCCTCTTAGTTGGGCCTGAAAGTGGTTTTCCTCCACTACATGAGACTGAGTAGGCCCACTAAAACTCTGCACCTAAAGTGGGTAGTGGTAGCAAACCACCCCCTGGATATGGTGCAAGTTTAATTTAACTGCACATACAAGTTGCTAGGCAGTGGAGTAGTTTCATTTAGCTGTTTTATAGGTCAATATTATTAAAAGTTCACAAGAAATGCAACATCTTCCCCACTCACTGCCACTGACCCCAACCCCAGCAGCACTCCCTCTGCATGCCAGCAGAGCTACTTACCCACTCACTGACCATCTGCACCAAAAGTAACAGCTGTGCCACCCAATATCATCTTCCTTAATATCCGCCTCTCTTATTCCTGGAGGAAACAGTCCCCTTTGGGGCAGAAAGACTCAAGACAGGTGGTGAGCTGCCCAAATGTTCAGCTCCTCACCCCTTATGTGAAGAGCATCCTGGCTCTGACTGCCCCGAGTAGCTGACCGACCATTTCCAAGGCACTGGACTGGTGTCTGCTGGGACTCCTTGAGTGAAGGCTATTCCCCTTGACTTGACTAAGGCCTGCTGACAACCATGACAAATTTCCTGGTTTTGTATGTCTACTAAACTATAAGGCAAGACCGAGGAAATGTGAGTCTTGCATGTCTGACAGGGTAAAGTGCAAAAAGGCAAGGCTGGGATGCTGCGAGCATTCAGTAGACTAAGAGTGAATGAGTGCTATGACAGTGAGGAAAGAGCGTGGAGATGCAGCCTGGCCCAGTCTTTGAGCTGTGTACATGTCCCTGAGTGCACAGTGACCTTACTGCAGCATTGCAATGACAGTTTCCAGTGCGACCCGAGTGCAGAAGCATCCTGTAAGTGGATCAGAGGTGAGCCATGAGAGATTTTAGAGGCTGACACATGTTGGATGCCAGTGTATGTCGATGTGAGGTGCATATGGCTGGTGCCCGTGCGGCATGCCCTAAGATGTTAGTGCCCGGTGTCCAACGTGGAGCATCTTCAGGGCAATCAGTGAACTGAATACTCGCCATTTCACTATGAAAAGCATCAAAGCTGGGATGAGGCATTACAATTGGCCTCAGCAGGCCCCTCACCCTGTTCTGCCACAAATCTCACCATAGGCAACATTGCTGAGGCACCTACATGATTCCACCTGATATCCTCAAGACTGGAAAAAGTTTACATTCAGATTCTATTCATGCACTTGTTTAAGAATAATCCAAAGCCTCCATAGTCTGAAAATGCTGTATCTTGACTCAGTTCTGAAAGAGTTTGCCATGATTGAATTTGATCCTGTTTGTGTACCTGTATGTTTTGTACCAAAACCCAACACCTTGAACTAGTATGTGTCATATTCATTAAATTTGATGAGTGGTTTTCCACTCACTAAATTAATGGTTCCTTTTGAAAATGAGTAAATTGTATTAGCTACAAGTCATTGCAAACTACCAGTAAGTCTCTTGGGAATTGAATCAGCACCAGTGGAGATCCTTGTGTGTTGAGGTTGTACCGTGCACACACTGGTGACTGAAACAGCAATAAAATTCCCCAAACTTGATTATTGATGTCTAAAGTTGGCAATGGTAGCAGCTAAATACCTAATAAGTTTATATTATAAAACTCTTTCCATTATTTCAATGACAATATCAACCACTCAGAAATGAGTAATACCTGTGATAATATTGAGGACTCAGGAATTCCATGCTTCTTAAACATTCAGTTGCTAATATAATCACCTGTAATTTCTAGGTCTGTAATCAGTAAAGAAAATCACATGCCTGCTACTTAATCTCTCTTTACCAATGGGAAAGAATACTCTTTCATCAGGTATTTAATAAGGCATAACAACTACCATTTCTTCTCGGGAAAGAACTGCAATCATATATTTTCTTTCTCATTGCCTTGTAGCTACAGCTAGTCCACTTAAGGACAATTTTGTCCCACAGCACTACTGGAGTTATTTCATTAATCATGTTCCAGGTATCCTACAAATATCAAAATCTAAGCCTGTTTCAAGCATGAGAATGGGATACAGGGGAAATGAACGTTGACCAATGTGTACTCTTATGGCCAGACCCTGAGTGAGGTACTTCAAATCAGTACGGTTCCAGACAAGTTACCCCAAACTATTAAGCTCCCAGGTGAGAAGGGATAAACTGGCTCCACTTCTTTAGTCACTCACCCCGTTAGTTAGATCCTTTCCCTTGTGAATACCTTTCTCCCAGCCCCAAATGCACTTATGTTTTAAAATGAGCCAAAATGAGCACATTTTCATGAATTAGTAAAAAGCATGAATTTATTTATTACTAACAGGAGAAGAATTAACCAGATAGTAGGGCCTCTATTGGCTACTCTATTTGAGCACTGAACTGGCCCTTTAAAGGTTCACCTGGTTCTGGTAGAAGTCGCCTGGTTGAAAGGTTTGGGCCCTGGCATGTTTGTCTACATTTTGTTTCAACACTGTTTGGGAGATGTTCAAGTGTTCTCAGGCCACTTCTCAGGTTCTTGAGAGTCACTCTCAGAAGTCTGCTGTGTAATCTAACATGGAGACTTCCCCCTTTTTCTCTAGATCCTCTTCATGATTCATTTGAGGCCAACACTTGGTGCCCATAAACTAATTCAAATGGAGTAAAATTGGTGGACTCACTGGGTGAGGCCCTGCTGGTTAACAGAGGAAAATCTAGTCCTTTTTCTTTGTCATGGGGGTACCCAAAGGAGGATGTCCTGATCATTGCTTTTTGGGTCTGGTGATCCCATTGTAATACACCCTGTGACTGTGGGCAATTTGCTGAAGAGTTCCACTGGGTCATGCCCAGGTTACCTATGACTTCCTGGAGTATTTTGGACATGAAATTTGAGCCTTTGTCTGACTGGATTTCAATGAGCTGACCATACCAAGTAAAGAATTATGCACAGTTTGAATATGGTTATCAAGGGAACAGCCTCTGGAGAATGGGTAACGGTATCCATGATGTTGAGGGTCAGTGAACAGACTGATGGAGGTAGTTGAACAATGCAACTGGTAACGTCACTGCAACAGTCACAAAGCTCAATTAGCCACTCTTCATAAACAATTCAAAGACTGATCTATAAATTTTATTTAACTTTTATCCTTTGGTTTTACCTTTTACCTCTAATCTGTGCATATAATATACGTGTTACTAATTCTACTCCCAATTAGTAATTAACAAACTCATTCTTTATTACTTTTAGAAAACCTGGCTAAATTAGCTCTTTTAAAGACATAATTTCATTTGAGTTTCAGAGTAAAATATCCACATGGGAAGGGATCCATTTTAAAATAACCTGGTTACAAACAACTGAGCAGATGAGTGAATTAGGGTATTCTGCCTGGAACTGGAACAACATGAGGAACCTCACCGTGGGTCTGGTCATAACAGTATCACCTACAAGATGTACAGCAACATTTAACCTCTATTATCTGAACAAACCCTTAAGGGCAGCATGGAGACACAGTTCCAACTTCTGTTATGATGAGTCACACACCATCCTGACATGTTCATATATCTCCATTCCTTCATTGTCACTGAGTCAAAATCACTGCACCCCCTATCTAAAGCATCTTCAGCAGGAAAACTTCAGTGGTTCATGAAGATGGCTGATTACCATCATCACAGAGCAATTAGGGATTGGGCAATAAGTCCTTGCCAGCGATGCCCACGTCCTGAGCATGATTTTTAAAAGATGATTCAGCTGGAATATTGCCTCAAAATAGAATTAAGCACAGAATAGTGATTAAAAGAAAACTTTTTAAACAAGTCCCAAATACATCTGTAGGCTCAGCTAAGTTAATTGGATAAGTATAGATAATTCAGTGGGCTGAATGGCCATTTATGTTCTTTACTGCCTATCATGCTTATATTTTGTTGTTCTTATTTTAAGTTCTTTGGATTTTCTGTGTCCTTTAAGTGTTGGTCAGTTTAAGGATATAAACAGTCCCTGGACATAAGGTTTCAAGTTGAATTAATATTAACCTGATACTGCTTAAATAACCCAAGCAATGCTTCCTTATTTTAATTCTATCTCCATAACTCACAGTCACCGAGATAATAGTTGATCTCCATTTAGTTTTGAACAAGTGGTATCATAAATACAAATTAAGTGGAACATCTTAAATAATTCTAGTGTGGAGGAATCAAACCTGTCACCAGAAAGCTGTGTCCAATTTGCAAACAACAGTCCTGTTATTAATGCCAGTTAACCCCATTTTATCTTTTGACACCTAAAAGACTTGCCATTCCTTGGTCGAGAGGTTAAGGTCACAGTAAGTCAATTGTCGGTGGCCTCAGTCAGCCTGAAACTAAGATGGTGATACCCAACACTACTCCTGACATTCTTTAGAGAAATCTTACTAGAGGGAATTGTTCTGATGCTAAGAACATAACTTCAAATCATTCCTGCCTTGTTTTCAAATTCTATATCTCCATTCATGCATTTCTATTCACTAATAAGGGGCAGTAAAAATCCATTATCCCTGAATGTCAAGATTGATAATTTTTTCTGCTTTATTTTTTGCAGATTACCAACTACAAACCCCTGTGCTTATATAAAATAAAAATTGAAAATGCACAAATTCAGGTCATTTGATGGATTAAAACGTTTCACAAGGAGGGCTGCAACTGAATACTGACTAGTTTTAGTACATTTCTTTATGTTTGAGACCGCACCCCTCCCTGCCACCATTAACCTCAATATTTCTCCCTTTGGAGAAGTTCCTTTGAACTTCTGTAAAATCTAAAACTGCAACTTGTTTTCTTGCTTTAATATAAAGTGATTTTATTAATCTGAAATGCAAAAATGTAGAGGGAAGTAGACAGCAATTATAGGTTTAACAATATGTTGTGACCTAACACTAGGCACAATCCATGGAACCTGTCAGAAATTAGACAACTAATCAAGCTCAAAACCTTTTCCCATCAGTTCAATTCATGGCTTAACATTGAAATATCCAGACTGTCTTGAGAAAATTGGCAGTTTCAAGGAAGGTTTTACAATACTGCAATTGATGGAGAACACAAGCCTGCCCAGTGATCCACCACAAGTGCAGTATCCACCCGAGAGCCAAATTGAAAATTGAGCTGGACAAGACTGAGCAAGATAGAACCATGATAAAAGAGTATAGGAGCACACCGACCAATGTAGTTAAATAACATACATCATAATGAAGGATGGATCTTTGAGAATATGCCTTGAACCAAAATGCCTAAAGGTTGTGAAATAGTGCCGTTGGAAAATACATATTTTGGAAAAAATAAATCTGGAATTAAGAATCTTCTGATGACTATGAAACCATTGCCAATTGTCAGACAAAAACTCATCTAGTTCACTAATGTCCTTTAGGGAAGGAAATCTGCCATCCTCACCTGGTCTGGCATACATGTGACTCCAGAACCACAGCAGTGTGGTTGACTCTCAACTGCCCTCTGCAATGCCCACTTAGTTGTATCAATCGCTACAGAGTCTCAACAAAGAAATGAAAGTGGACGAACAACCTGACATCGACCTAGCCACTGAAAAGATGGCAGAAGCATCCCTGTTGACTCTGCAAAGTCCTCCTTACTAACATCTGGAGGCTAGTGCCAAAATTAGGAGAGCTGGCTCACGGACTAGTCAAGCAACAGTCTGATATAACCATTCTCATGTAATCGTACTTTACAGACAATGTACCAGACACCACCATTAACAGCCTGGATATCACCCAGAGAGTTCTCCTAGGAGTCCTCAACATTGACTCCAGACCCCATGAAGTCTCATTGCTTCATGATAAACACGGCCAAGGAAATTGCCACGTACTGTCTTCCTTCAGCTGATGAATCAGTACTCTTCCATGCTGAACGACATATGGGAAAAGCACTAAGGGTGTCAAGGGTGCAATATGTGCTCTGGGTAAGGGATTTCAGTGGCTCAGCAGCTGCACTACTGATCAAGATGTTTGGGTCCGAAAGGCCATAGCTACCAGAATGGGTCTGCAGCAGTTGGTAAGGGAACCAACAAGAGGGAAAATTATACTTAATCTCATCCTTACCAGTCTTCCAGTTGCAGATCCATGACAGTATTGGTAAGGATGACCACTGCACAGTCCTTGTGGAGGCATAGTCTCACCTTCATATTGAGAATATCCTCCATAGTGTTGTGTGCTACTATCACTGCACTAAATGGAACAGACTTCAAACAGATTTAGCAACTCAGAATGGGGAATCCATGAGGCACTCCACAATCTGCAACCTCATGGCCTAGCATATCCCCTACTCAACAATTAACATCAAACCAGATATCAATAATGGTTCAATGGAGAATGCACGAGGGTATGTCTGAAGCAGCAGCAGGCATATCTAAAAATGAAACAGTATGAACTGCCGATGCTGGAGTCAGAGATAGCACAGTGTGGAGCTGGAGGAACGCAGCAGGTCAGGCAGCATTAGAGGAGCAGGAAAGCTGACGTTTTGGGTCAGGACACTTCTTCAGAAATGGCCTGCTGTGTTCCTCCAGCCCCACACTGTGTTATATCTAAAAATGATGTGTCAACTTGATGAAGCTATGAAACAGGACTATTTGATTGCATATGCTGTGTGGCAGCAAGTGTTGACAGAGTCAATACAGTGTGGAGCTGGAGGAACACAGCAGGTCAGGCAGCATCAGAGGAGCAGGAAAGTCTATGTTTCGGTCGGGACCCTTCAGGTCAGGATGAAGGATCCCGACCTGAAACGTCAACTCTCCTGCTCCTCTAATGCTGTCTGACCTGCCATGTTCCTCCAGCTCCACGCTGTATTGACTCTGACTCCAGCATCTGCAGTTCTTGCTATCTCCAAGTGATAGACAAAGCTAAGTGGTCCCACAACCAACCAATCAGATCTAACAAAAACATTGCTGGAAAAGCTCAGCATGTCTGGCAGCATCTGTGGAGAGAAATCAAAGTTAACGTTTCGGGTTCAGTGACCCTTCCTGAGAACACAGACTATTTTGTATAAAACTAAGGGTTGAACTTAATTAAGGGATGGCTGAACTTAATGAAAGGATGGCTAAGAGATGATTCTACATCTACTTTGTATAGCACTGAGTTCCAGCGTAATGGCATTTGAATTATCAATGTACTTTCAGTTTCATTAGAAGCTCGATAGCTGTTAAATTGTCAGGTGTGTCAAATGCAGTTGGTCCAGATTGCAGCAACTCACTAACTTAGAACCTGGTCTCTTTAATGGATCATAGACAATCCTGAAGAGTTTCAAGATGCAGCAGATCAGCTGAGTTTCAAGAAGATGCTTCCTCGAGATGAGCGGAGATTTAAAGCTGCAGATCTAGATGGAGACATGGTAGCCACCAGAGAGGAGTTTACAGCCTTTCTTCACCCAGAAGAGTTTGAGCACATGAAAGAAATTGTTATATATGTAAGTAAGAAGTTTCCTTAGCACTCTTGAATGTGTATATAGAATTGGACAATTACAGCAAAGAAGGTCACTTGACCATTGTGACTGTATCAGATCTTTGAAGGTAAAGGTGAAATTGGCAAATTCTCTCTTTTACTAAATAACCAGCAAAGACATTTTTAATATCTCATTTTCCGTCACCTTTGGAGTGCAGAATATCAACTTCATCAACACTTTTCATTTCGACCTCAAATTCACCTGGACCATCTCTGACACCTCCCTCCCCTTCCTGGACCTCTCTGTCTCCATCTCCGGCAACTGACTGAGCATCGACATCTATTTCAAACCCACTGACTCCCATTGCTACCTTGACTACACGTCCTCTCACTCACCCTGTTGCAAAAATGTGATCCCATACTCCCAATTCCTCCACCTCCACCACGTCTGCTCACGGAATGACGCGCTCCATTCCCGGACATCCCAGATGTCTCCCTACTTCAAGGACTGTAACTTCCCCTCTCCTGTGATTCATAATGTCCTCAATCACATGTCCTGCATTTCCTCCCCCCCAACAACAACAAGAATAGAGACCTCTGGTCCTCATATACCACACCACCAACCTTCGAATGCAATGCATCATCCTCCACCACTTTTGCCACCTGCAATCAGACTCCTTCTCCAAAGAGATATTCCCCTCCCCAACTCTTATCTACTTTCCATAGGGCCTGTGCTCTCCATGACTTCCTCATCTGCTCCACACTCCCCACCAACCCCACCACACCTAGCACTTTTCCCTGCAACTGCAGGAAGTACTACACCCGCCCGTATGTCTCCTGTCTCACCTCCGTTCAAGGCTCCAAACAATCATTCCGAATCTTACAGAAACTCATCTGTATGTCTTCTAACCTGGTCTACTGTATCCATTGTTCCTGATGTGGTCTCCTCTACATTGGAGAGACCAAGCACAGATTCGGTGACAGATACGTGGAGCATTTGCACTCTGTACGCTCCAATCAAAACCACCTTCTGGTTGCCAGCCATTTTAACTCCCTCTCCCACTCCCTTGGCAACATGTCCATCCTGGGCCTCCTCCAATGTCACAATGAAGCCACATGAAAATTGGAGGAACAATACCTTATATTCCACCTCAGGAGCTTACAGCCCTCAACATAGAAATCACTAGCTTCAAAATTTCCCCACCCCCGACATCATCCCATGTCTAGACCTCTCTCATCCCCGCCTCCTTGACCTGACTCAACCTGTCCATCTTCCTTCTCACCTATCTGCCCCACCCTTCCCATTGACCAATCTCCACAACCCCCTACCTGCATCCACCTGTCACCATCCCACCTGGCTTCGCCCAGCCCCACTCCCACTTCCTCTATTTATTTCTGACCTCCCTTCCCCCTCCCCAGTCCAAAACGTCGACTTTCCTGCTGCTGATGCTGCCTGACCTGCTGTGTTCCTCCAGCTCCACACTGTATTGACATCAACATAAATGTTTTACTTATTAAGAAGTTTAAAACAATGCTCAGATTTAGTTGCTTAATTTGGCTATGGCCCCATCTCATTTAGAAAGTGCTAACAATGAATTCAGACTCCAGCATAAATTCTCAACGAGAATTAATTTCCTTCTGATCCTCCTTACCAACTTTCAAAACTTTCCCTCCCTACCCCACAAAAACAAAAAAAACAGTGCTGATTGTACCATGAGGGCTACTGTCGGTGGAACTGTTTCAATTTGAGACATTCAGGGTGGTGCTAAGTTGCCCCTGTGTCACTTGACAAGAACTAAGCACCATGTATACCTTGTTAATGATACCATTCTCAAAAGAAGCAAACACGTGCTCCCATAAAACTAAAAGAATCACTGAAAGTACAGTAACAAAGTCCAAACTAAACAAACAGGAACCTTACACAAGAACTTGTCATGCTATTGAGTCTGCTTATAAATCAGGCACCTTGCATTTGGTGGTAGCAGACTTCATTTGCCTCCAATTCTTCTCACACAAACCTCATTGGCAGCCCTCCTTTTACCTAAAAGCTATTCTTATGCCATTAACCTTGACTAGGTGACTGTATGTATCCCATCTTATCCAATGTTGATCACCAGATGGAACCTTTAACTAGTTGTGCGATAAATATTTTGCTCAGAATTTATTTGGTAAGTGTATATAAACTACTTTTTCTCTTCCACATGATCCCAGGTCAGTAGAAAGGTCTTCTACTGCAACAGCTGATGGATCATTTCCCATCTACTACACTTTATTTAATATTTAAAACCTGTGCATTGATTATTACATGCTGACTGATAGGAGCAATTAGGTCTTATTGCTGAAGACATTCTTGCTACTTAACCATGGGAAGACAATGATACTTCCTTGCTTTGCAATTGCCTGTATGGTAAATAAAAGGTAATTTTTAAAATTATAGCTAATAATTCTTAAACCCAAAGGATAAATGAGAACAATTGTGCATTTAGTTTAGCTAATGTGTATTTGTTGTTGGTGTAAATGAAAGCATGTAGCCAGATATGGCAATGCAAGGTGTAGAAGGTGGTCCGTGATTCGTTAAGTCACAGATATTGGTTAGGCCATAGCTGGAATGTTGTGTTCAGTTCTGGTCTCCTCACTATAGGAATGATGTGATTGCACTGAAGGGCATGCAGAAGATATTCACCAGAATGTTGCCCGGGATAGAGCACTTTAGCTATGAAGAGAAGCTGGATAGGCTTGGGTTTTGTTCTGTTTAGAGCAGACAAGGTTGAGGATGGGGTGGGAAGGTGGATCCTCATTGGGATATATCAGATTACGACGGGCGTGCACAGGGTGGGTAGGAATCAGCTGTTCCCCTTGGTTAAAGGGTCTATAATGAGGGGACATAAATTTAAGGTGAAAGGCAGAAGGTTTAGAGGGGATTTGAGGAACAATGTTTTCACCCAGAGGATGGTGGAAATCTGGAATGCACTGCCTGTGTGGGTAGCAGAGGCTTTCTAGCTAATGATCAAGGCCCCTGTCATCTCCATTAAAAAGCCTGTAACCACAGGAATTTTCTCTGAATTTCTTTATTGGATTGGTTAGCGATTATCTTTTATTTGTGCTCCCTGCTTTGCATCTCCCTAAAAGTAGAAAATCTCAATGTTTACATCAAAACCTTTCATAATTTTAAGCCTGTTTATTCCTTCTGGTCATTGTAACTCTCCCTACAACTGCCCTGTTCAGTTTTAGGTTGAGATATTGTAATTGTGAATAAGTATTATGGTGTGTCTTCTCCATGACAATGCCTCCACTGTTCAGAATCCACTTGCTAAACAATTAGTTTTCCCCTTGAATTGGTATTATTTGCGAATTGTCCTGATGAGTGCATGAGGAAAAGCTTTGACAAAATGTGTCTTTTTTCAGAATATTCCAGTTATGTAGCATTAGACAATGATCTGACCATCATTACAGTGACCTTAGAGGAATCTGCTGTGCACAAATTGGCAGCTGCATTACCTACATTACAATGTGATGACAAGTCAACTGTATGTGATGTTTGGAAACAGCAATAACAGCTCACGTTTATATATTACCATTAATGTAGCAAAACATCTGTGGGTGCATTTTGGTAGTGGGTTATCAAAATTTGACACTGAACTATATAAGAAGATATTAGAAAGCAGATTAGTCAAACAGGTAGCTATTAAGGAATAGCCCTTCAGGTAAGGTAGTGACATACAGATGCAAAGAGATTTTGGGAGGAAATGCCAGTGTTTTGTGCCTAGATAGCTGAAGACAACAATCAAGGGCTACAAAAGTAAGGGGGAGCAAGGCCACTGAAATTAAAGTGCTTTGGAATGACCTGACATTGTGAAATGTCCAACGTATAACAGAGTGCTATGGGAAACAATGTTTCCTCTTATAGGAAAAACTATAATTTGGTGTCACTTTCAAAACCAAGCGTTGACCTTTTTTAACACAGATATACGGAGACTTTCCTTTCTGAGGATCATGAGTCTTTGGAAATCTGTTCCTCAAAAGGCAGTGAAAACAGTGTCTGAATATTTTTAAGGCAGAGTTAAGTCGACTCTTGATCAGCAAGGGGATGAAAGGTTATAGAGGGTAGGCAGGAATGTGGAGTAATCAGATAAGCCACGATTTTATTGGATGGCAGAGCAGGCTTGAGGCGCTGAGTGGCCCACATCTCCTAATTTGTGTCTTCTTATGAATGCAAGTTTTTTTCTACGTATCATCGGTAACTGTACTTACAAAGTGCTCTTATTACTAGGAAACTCTTGAAGATATTGATAAGAATGAAGATGGCTTTGTTGATGAGGATGAGTACATTGGTAAGGAATGATGCCTTTTGAATCACTAACTGTGACCCAATCATTAGGCTCTGATGATTTCGGTAGAATCACTTGTAATCAAACTGAAACACAACGGTAAGTCCTTGAGGATGTCATTTCGCCGATGTAGCAGCAGTGCCCTCTGCAGTAATGGGAGGGATGGCAGCCCCCATATTGAAAAAATTCAAACTTTGTGTGCTTTGACATTTCATTATCAAATCTGAGAGACAACAATTTCAGCAGCTGACATTGGGCAGAACAAACTGGGGGAAATTAGAATTTTTTTTTAACTGCTTGTTGTGATCAGAATATATTGCATGGAAGAGGGATTGAAGCAAATTCAATAGATTTCACCAGGGAATTGAATATACCTCTTTGAAAAGAAGTCATTGCAGGCCTCTGAAGGAAAAACAGTGTGTAGAAATAACTCCACGTCTTTTTCAAAGGGCTGACACAGGCACATTAGCCAAAAGACTTCCATCTATGTTGTACCATTCTGTAAGTTAAAGCAGTATCATAAAGATTTAGACAACAATTAAATGACTTAGAGTTACACTTTCCCTCTATAACTGAAATCAAACCAACTGATTTACTAATTTTGATCACTGGGTCTTCATGAAACACAAGCAAGAACCCCATGTTCATCTCTGAACACATTGAAAATATTCACTGAGTACATTTTTAGGGATTTTCAATGGACAGTAGTCTGTGTCTTATGGGTTGTGTATTCAACATGATGTCACATCCAATAGCTGACATGAATAGAAATGCCAAAAGAAACAACTGGCATTTATGTGGCGCCTTTCATTACTTTAGAGTTCTACTTTTTATAGTATAGTTCCTGTTGTCATGGAAGAAACATGACAGTAAATTTGGGCCTAGTAAGGTCCCACAAATGGCAAAACCAGACAATCTGCTGTAACATTGTTGATTGAGGGATAATTATAAATATATTTTAATAGTATATACTGTACGTATAAGGAAAAGAAAACTGAATTATTTTGACTTTTGAGTCAACTGACGAATATTTCAATTTATGCTGATAATGGTCCTTTATTGCACATTTGGAGTGCAATGCTATTCCTAGAGCACTCTGGAGTGTCACTGAAGCCATTTTAGTGTTACTGAGATCATTATAACCAAATCTCATGGAGTCACGGTGGCAAAGTGGTAATGTCACTGGACTTCTATAATCCACAAGCCCACGCTAATATTCTGGACTCAAACCATGCCAGATGGTGAAATTTGAATTCAATAAGTAGATGGAATAATGGCAATCATAAAGTCCATTGACGGTTGTCAGTGAACCCATCTGGTTCACTAATGTCCTGTAGGGAAGGAAATCTATTGTTCTTACCTGGTCTGGCCTACATGTGACTTCAAACTCACAGCAACTGTCCTCGGGCAAATAGAGATACAAGTTAGAATCAAATCTAGTCGAAAGAAAGAAAAAGGAAATTGATCAGATTAAGAGAGAGTGAAAAAGATTGGAAAGTTAAAATAAGAAAGGAAAGTAAAACCTTACATTTGATATTTTTAGACAAATTTAACCAAAGGATGACTACTTGCAAGAATGAGACTTAACAGTTAATGTTCAATTGCCAGTTATTAAGAATAAACATGCTTTTAAGTATAAGCCTTACATTTTATGGTGACTTTAGTGGAACATTATATGCAAATCTAGCCCAAGTTACTAAATATAATGGGGAGACCACTTTTAGAATTCTGCGTAAAATTCTGGTCGTCCTTTTATAGGAAAGATGTTGTTAAACTTGAGAGGGTGCAGAAAAGATTTATGAGGATGTTGCTAGGACTGAAGGGTTTGAGTTATAGGGAGAGGCTGAAAAGGTTGGGGCTTTTTTCCCTGGAGTATCGGAGGCTGAGGGGTGACCTTGTAGAGGTTTGTAAAATCATGAGGGGCATAGATAGGGTGAATAAGCAAGGTCTTTTTCCTAGGGTGGGGAAGTCCAAAACTAGAGGACATAGGTTTAAGGTGACCAGAGAAAGAATTAAAAAGGACCTGAGGGATAGCTTTTTCACGCAGAGGGTGGTGCATGTATGGAACGAGCTACCAGAAGAAGTGGTGGAGAAGGGAACAATTACAACATTTAAAAGTCATCTGGATGGGTATATGAAAAGGAAGGGTTTAGAGGGACATGGACCAAAAAATGCTGGCAAATGGGACTAGGTCAGATCAGAGACAACAAAGTGCAGGGCTGGATGAACACAGCAGGCCAAGCAGCATCATAGGAGCAGAGAGGCTAGACCCTTCATCAGAAAAGGGGGAGGGGAAGGGGGTTCTGAAATAAATAGGGAGAGAGTGGGAGGCGGATAGAAGATGGATAGAGGAGAGGATAGGTGGAGAGGAAACAAACAGGTTGAAGAGGCGGGGATGGAGCCAGTAAAGGTGAGTGTAGGTGGGGAGTTAGGAAGGGGATAGGTCAGTCCAGGGAGGACGGACAGGTCAAGGGGGCAGGATGAGGTTGGTTGGTAGGAGATGGAGGTGCGGCTTGAGGTGGGAGGAGGGGATAGGTGGGAGGAAGAACAGGTTAGGGAGGCAGGGACGAGCTGGACTGGTTTTGGGATGCGGTAGGGGGAGGGGAGATTTTGAAGCTTGTGAAATCCACATTGATACCATTGGGCTGCAGGGTTCCCAAGCGGAATATGAGTTGCTGTTCCTGCAACCTTCGGGTGGCATCGTTGTGGCACTGCAGGAGGCCCAGGATGGACATGTCGTCTGAGGAATGGGAGGGGGAGTTGAAATGGTTCGCGACTGGGAGGTGCAGTTGTTTATTGCGAACCGAGCGTAGGTGTTCTGCAAAGCGGTCCCCGAGCCTCCGCTTGGTTTCCCCGATGTAGAGGAAGCCACACCGGGTACAGCGGATGCAGTATACCACATTGGCAGATGTGCAGGTGAACATCTGCTTGATGTGGAAAGTCTTCTTGGGGCCTGGGATGGGGGTGAGGGAGGAGGTATGGGGGCAGGTGTAGCACTTCCTGCGGTTGCAGGGAAAAGCGCTCATCCTGCCCCCTTGACCTGTCCGTCCTCCCTGGACTGACCTATCCCCTTCCTAACTCCCTACCTACACTCACCTTTACTGGCCCCATCCCCACCTCTTCGACCTGTCTGTTTCCTCTCCACCTATCCTCTCCTCTATCCATCTTCTATCCGCCTCCCACTCTCTCCCTATTTATTTCAGAACCCCCTTCCCCTCCCCCTTTTCTGATGATGGGTCTAGGCCCGAAACGTCAGCCTCTCTGCTCCTATGATGCTGCTTGGCCTGCTGTGTTCATCCAGCTCTGCACTTTGTTGTCTCGGATTCTCCAGCATCTGCAGTTCCTACTATCTCTAGGTCAGATCAGGATGTTTGGTTGGCGCAGATTAATTGGACCGAAGCATCTATTTTCGTGCTGTTTGACTCTCTGACAAAGTTGAGATCCTATTTGTGGAAAGCAAATGATTCAAGAGCATAAGTTGAACAGCAAGTTCTGTGATTAGCAAGTCATCATATGTAGCTTGTTTCTCTGAACTTGCCAGGCAATTTGTGTGCTCATAACAGTGTGCTTGTTTCTATCCTTTTTTTCAAAAGGCAGATTTGCTTATTGTTTTTGGTGGGGTTAGATCCATGAATTCTCCAGAGACCATCTGTTGGCAGTCTTCACTGGGTTTGCTGCATGAGGTCGGCAACAGTTTAACACAAGGCACCAAGAATAAAGAGCATTTCACATTGTTTAGCAATTTATCTATTAAGTAACTGTGATTACCTCTCAATAACAAAGAATACTTAAAAGTAATGATTTTACTAATTACATAGCTTTGTAGATGATTTAAATGGAATGATAAAATAGACGAAGATCTCAAATACTCTCCATTTGTAACAAAAACAATAAGCATGATTTCAACAATAACCCTCATTCATGTAGCACCTTTAAAATAGGAAAACATCCCAAGACACTTTTCAGGAGTGTTATCAAACAATTTTAGGCATTGCAGCACATAAGGAGATGTTGGGTTAGGTGACAAAGAATGTTTTCAAAGAGTTAGGTTGAAAGGGATGTCCTAAAGGAGGAAAGTTAAATTTAGGGAGTGAATTTCAGATGTTAGGTTTCAGCAGTTTAAGGTGCAGTCATTGGTGGACCAATGAAAATAGCATAAGAGGCCAAAATTTGAAGAGTAGAGAAATCTGTTCCAGGACCACAGGAAGCTGCAAATATAGGCAGGATCTTGGTCATGGAGAGATTTGAAAATTAGGGTGTGAATTTAAAAATTGAAGAATTGCTGTACTGCGAATCATTCAGATTAGCGAGCGCAGGAGTGATATGTGAACGAGCCTCAGTGTGAGTTAGAATAGACAGTGATTTCACATTAATTAATTTCACAGTAATTAAATTCCATTCAGGGCCATTAGCTACCTGTAATTGCTCCATAGTTGTCATCAGGTGCTGAAATGTGAACAGTGGTGGCTGCTTTCTATGAGTGTGCAGACTACCTTCATCCCATACATACTGAACATATTAAACCACATGCAGCAAAATGAACCAGTCTAATGGAGCACATCAACTTAAATTATTTTTACATTATGAAAATGCTCGATTTTAATTAATGGAACAAATTAGAAGGTAAAATCTCTCCCAAGCATTTTTTTTTCTCTCTTGTTCCTAAGCTATGGAGCCAGAATGCCCAAACCCTACCACTAACTCAGTGAGTAATTATGCGCTGGTCAGTCAGACACTGACCCATTCTGAATTATTCATTCTTCATTCTTAGAAAGAAAACAGGTCTATTTAGCACAAAAGTATTGTGGCATTCTGTGGTGAGAATTATGTTGTCACACAAAGAAATAACAAAGGATGACATTAATAGCCAGTGTTTTCAGGGTGCTTTTTTTAAGGAAAACCATTGGCATATTCACCTGATGGAGCATAATGATCTTTTAGCTGCTGATAATTACAAAATATAAATGACACCAACCATAGTTGCTGGCACCTTCCTGATTCTGCCTTGTTGGTTTTGCTGTGGGCTTAAATGGTTCTATGACTCTGAAGGGGGAGAATACACAATAATTACCATAGTACCCAATCCTACTTCATAGGAGTATTATCAAAAAACATTTCACATTGAGCCACCTAAGGAAGTATTAGGATAGTTGACCAAAGCATGGCGAGAGATGGGATTCCCACCTTAAAACTCTCCAGGTTTAGGCTTTAGGTGGTAATTAGGGCCAATAAACATGAAGTGATTAAAACTGGAGTTTAGGGATTCTTGTGGAACAATGATAATTCCTTACCTCTGAACCAGGAGATTTCGGTTCAAGTCTCACTTGCTCCAAGAAATGTAATAACATTTCCAAGGTTGATTAGTAATATCTAAAATTAAGGTTGGGGATGCTTGAAAGTTAAAAAAATAGACTCTTGTAGCACAGTGTCAATGTCCCTACCTCTGAGTCGGAACTCCCAGATTCAGCTTCTACCTCCTCCAGATATGTGTCATAGCATCTCTGAACAGGTTGATTACAAAATATCTAAAATTGGGCCAGAAGTGAAGGAGTGCGGAGATCTTGGAGGGTTACACGATTCCAGGAGATTTCAGAGATGGAGAGGGGAAAAGCCACAAGGAACTTTAATACAAGGATGAAAATTATAAAATTAAGGCAGTACAGGCCAATGTCGGCAGTGGGTCAATGAGGACAGGATTCCTGGAAGAACGAGATCTTTCCTGCATGCACTTTCTGAGCTTGGTAGCACAGGGTTCATGGGGCTGCTCAGACTTATTTTTCTATTTTTTCAGCTGATATGTATGCACGAGAAGAAGGTGTCCCTGAGCCTGAATGGGTCAAGACTGAGCGGGAGCAGTTTTCCGATTTCCGTGACTTAAACAAGGATGGAAAGATGGACAAATCTGAAATCAAACATTGGATCCTCCCGGAGGATTATGACCATGCACAGGCTGAAGCCAGACATCTGGTCTACGAATCTGACAAAAACAGAGTAAGTAAAAGTACATACCTGTAAGTCTACAGTGGTTCTATACTTCCAATCATAGAATTTTAAGAAACTGAAAGAAGCTATTTGGTCCATTGCCCATGTGCTAGTTCTTTGAAGACTTCATAGAATCCCTACAGTGTGAAAACAGACCATTCGGCCTAAAAAGTCTACACCGACCCTCCAAAGAGCATCCCACCCAGACCCATTCCCCATAACTCTGCATTTCCTGTGGCTAATGCACCTAATCTACACATCCCTGAACACTGAGCAATTTAGCACAGACAATCCACCTAACTTGCACATCTTTGGACTGTGGAAGGAAACCGGAGCACCTGGCAGAAACTCACACAGACACGGGGAGAATGTGCAAACTCCACACAAACAGTTGCCCAAGGTTGGAATTGAACCAGATCCCTGGCGCTGTAAGGCAGCAGTGCTAACCACTGAGCCACTGTGCCGCCCTCAATTTAACTTATCCAATTTAACACCTCAACTCAACTTTTATCCCTTGTTCTTGAAAATTAGTCCCTTTCAAGTACATATCCAGTTGTATTTTGAAAGCTCCCATCTAAGTTCTAGATCTCAACACTCCTCTATGCAAAACTTTCTCCTCAATTTCCCGAGACAACAAGATGTAGAGCTGGATGAACACAGCAGGCCAAGCAGCATCAGAGGAGCAGGAAAGCTGACGTTTCGGGTCTAGACCCTTCTTCAGAAAAGGGGGAGGGGAAGGGCATTCTGAAATAAATAGGGAGAAAGGGGGAGGCGGAAAGAAGATGGATAAAGGAGAAGATAGGTGGAGAGGAAACAGACAGATCAAGGAGGCAGGGTTGGAGCCAGTAAAGGAGAGTGTAGGTGGGGAGTTAGGGAGGGGATAGGTCAGTCCAGGGAGGACAGACAGGTCAAGGAGGCGGGATGAGGCTAGTAGGTAGGAGATGGGGGTGGGGCTTGAGGTGGGAGGAGTGGATAGGTGGGAGGACAGGTTAGGGAGGCGGGTACGAGCTGGACTGGTTTTGGGATGTGGTCGGGGGAGGGGAAATTTTGAAGCTTGTGAAGTCCACATTGATACCATTGGGCTGCAGGGTTCCCAAGTGACATATGAGATGCTGTTCCTGCAACCTTCGGGTGGCATCGTTGTGGCACTGCAGGAGGCCCAGGATGGACGTGTCGTCCAAGGAGTGGGTAGGGGAGTTGAAATGGTTCGCGACTGGGAGGTGCAGCTGTTTGGTGCGGACCTCCGCTTGGTTTCCCCGATGTAGAGGAGGCCACATCTGGAACAGCAGATACAGTATACCACATTAGCAGATGTGCAGGTGAACATCTGTTTGATGTGGAAGATCTTCTTAGGGCCTGCGATGGAGGTGAGGGGGGAGGTATAGGGGCAGGTGTAGAACTTCCTGCGGTTGCAGGGAAAAGTGCCGGGTGTGGTGGGGCTGGTGGGGAGTGTGGAGCGGACAAGGGAGTCCTGGAGAGAGTGGTCCCTCTGGAAAGCAGATAAGGGTGGGGAGGGAAAAATGTCTTTGGTAGTGGGGTCGGATTGCAGATGGCGGAAGTGTCAGGGGATGATATGTTGGATCCGGAGGTTGGTGGGGTGGTACGTGAGGATGACGGGGATTCTGTTTTGGTTATTATTGCGGGGAGGGGGTGTGAGGGATGAGTTGCGGGAAATGCGAGAGACACGGTCGAGGGCGTTTTCGATCACCGTGGAGGGGAAGTTGCGGTCTTTGAAAAACGAGGACATCTGGGATGTCTGGGAGTGGAATGTCTCATCTCGAGAGCAGATGCGGCGGAGGCGAAGGAATTGGGGGCGACCAATCCCAGCTTCTCCAGTTTCCCAAGATAACTGAAGCCCTTATCCCTGGTATCATTATGGCCAAATCTGCTAATCCTGTCTCAGGCTTCTACACACTTGCTAAACTATTATGCCCGGAATTGAATTCCAGTCAAGGCTGAGTCGGTGATTAGTAAAAGTTTAGCATGATTTCCTTGTTTTTGTATTCAATGCTGCTATTTACAAAGCCAGGTTTCCGATATGCTTTCCTATCTGCCTTATCTACCTGCCTCCCAAACTTCAAGACTTGTGGATGTGTTCTACCTGCTACTCTTGTATAATCATACAGCAAGGAAACAGACAGCAAGGAAACAGACCCTTCGATTCAACTCATCCATGCCAACCAAGTTTCCCAAACTAAACCCACTTGCCTGCATCTGGCCCATATCCCTCTAAACCTTTCATATTTATGTACCTATCCAAATGTTGTTTTAAATGTTGTTACTGTACCTGCATCTACCATTTCCTCTGACAGTTCATTCCACATACGAACCACCCTCTGTGTGAAAAGATTGCCCCTCAGGTCCCTTTTAAGTCTTTCTCCTCTCACCTTAAAAATATGCCCCCTGGCTTTGAACCTCCCCACCCCAGGGAAAGACCTCTGCTATTCACCTTATCTATGCCCCTCATGATTTTATAAACGTCTATAAAGTCACTCCTCAACCTCCTATGCTCCCAGGAAAAAAGTCCCAGATTATCCAGCCTGCCCTTATAACTCAAACTCTTCATTCCCTGCAACATCCTTGTAAATATTTTCATCACCCTTTCCAATATTATCAATATCCTTCGTATAGCAGGGCAACCATAATTGTGCACAGTACTCCAAATGTGGCCTCACTAAAGTCATGTACAACTGCAACATGACATCCCAACTTTTATAATCAGTGGTTTGAGCAATGAAGTCAAACGTGCTAATACCTTCTTCACTACCCTGCCTACCTATCATGCCACTTTCAAGAAAGTTAGGGCCCTACCATTAAATATATAAGTCCTGCCCTTGTTTGTCTTACCCACAATGCATCACTTTGCATTTATCTAAATTAAACTCCATCTGCCACTCATCAGCCCATTTGCCCACTGGGTCGAGATCCCATTGTACTCTTAGGTAACCTCCTTCTCTGTCCACTATACCACCAATTTTGGTGTCATCTGCAAACTTATTAAACCATGCTTCCTGTATTCTTTTCCAAGTCATTTATATAAAAGACAGACAACAATGAACACAGCTGGTCACAGGCCTCTTGTCCAAAAAACAACCCTCAACCATCACCCTCTATCTCCTACCATCACGCCAATTTTGTATTCACTTGGCAAGCTCTCCCTGGATCCCATGCAATCTAACTTTACTAAACATTCTGCCATGTGGAACCTTGTCAAAGGCCTTGCTAAAGTCTATGTAGACAATGTCTACCACTCTGCCCTTATCTATATTCTTGGTCATGTCCTTAAAAAAACTCAATCAAGTTTGTGTTATCCCAGGAATAATAAGTACCAGTATGTAACTCCAAGTCATTAATTTAATTAACGTGTTTGGATGATATCTGAATTCAAAAGGTTTGAATTGCCATATCACCTTGTTGCAACAAAAGTCCACAACAATCAGTTAAGTTGGAATTATCCCATTGATCTTGAACTGTGGGGTGAGTGTGTTAGGTGGTGACTAACTTGCTGCCCTAACCACTGAAGAAACTCACCATATTGCCCACTGGTCAGTTCATTAAGATCTGATCACCTCGCTTCAGCAAGTTTCTCATGTTAATCACAGGCCTCAGTATTGGCATTCCAGGTCACCAGAAGCTGCTAATCAGTCAGTGGCCAGCAGCTTCTGGGTCCTAAAGTCTGCAGGCTGAGACTGAAGCCTCAAATAATCCAGCAATGTGTAGGTTCTCAGGACTTGGGGGTCACAGGGAGAGGATTTCTGAGACAATGGCAGGTGGTAGTTTTCTGAAGACTCCTTGTAACGAGTCTATGTCTCCAAATACTCCCAGATTGGAGCAATTCAAGATTCCCATCCAACCTGGTGGACTCGTTGCTCTGGTTTTACAGTCAGGAAATTAGTCGCCTTTCTTATAAAATGAAGAACTGCAGATGCTCTGAAACAAAAGCAGAAATTGCTGGAGAAACTCATCAAGTCTGGCAGCATCTGTGGAGAGAAAGCAAATTTAACGTTTTGAGTTCAGTGACCCTTCTTTGGAACCATTCTAAAGAAGGGGGTCACTGGAATCGAAATGTTAACTCTGATTTTTAACTACTTTTCTTGCCTGTCAAGGAGACAGATGATCAAGGATGTTATTAGTTGAGGTCTATAAGTGCTCATTAATTGACCATATAAGGAGTGTCCACTTAAAGGCCTTAATTGCTGATAAGTCAAGAAAGATGTCCTTGGACACCATCAATATTTTCGTCCCATTTTTTCCCCTTCATACCCACTCCAAGGAGGGGAAAATCGTGCTCTTAGAGTGAGGGCAGGGGTGGGCTGTTACTTAGTGAGAGTAGATATTTATGCCTCCTTTCCACTATAGCCATTCCTTATCATTGCTATTTTATCTTGTTATTAGTAGGAACCGTCATTAGTTTTTTTTAAATAAAACGTCGGTGGTGTGGTTTATTGTGGTATATTTAAATATCACTATTCCCTGCCAGAGTAGAGATGACTAGGCAGTTTCTCGCAAATCATGTTGGCAGTCCACCCTTTTGTAATTTGCCATGATTGGTTTTAAGGAACTCATTTGTGTTGTTTAACTATCCTCCACTTGCTGCATCTTATTGGAGAGAAATAATCAATTTGCAACATGTGAATGTTGTACGTGGACAAGTTGGTGCAGTCTTTATCACATTTTTGATCAGTTTGTGATGGTCTCTGTTTAAACAGACTCTGTAGATAGGCATTGTTTGCTGAGTAAATAGACTGTACTAAGATCTTCCCTAAATCCCACCCTGTTTGCAAGTAGTATGCTAATACAAAAGTGTCAATAAACATGCTGTACATTATCATCATTAACAATGATTACCACGTGGACATTCAAATCAATAAGAGAGGTCATTGTTATGAACCATGAACAAAATGGACCTCCACTGTGACAAACACCATCTCAAAAAAAACCTCACATAGGTGTAAATAGAACTGCTACACAATTTCATTCTGCTTTACAATGCTGCTGGATACCCTTCAATGACCAATTGGGTATAATCAAATCAAAAGATTTATATCAATGTGATTAATGCCTGGTAATCAATACTGGATGATTCATCATCATAAACTGTAATTCATTGCATATAATAGATGCTACATTATGTTGGTTATTCAGTTAGATTTAGATTTTGTTGTTGCATGTACTCAAGTACAGGAATACATGAGTACAGTGAAAAGTGTACAAAGTCACCACTCTCTGGCGCCGTCTAAGTATATAAGACAGGATTAAAAACAGAAGCAGAGAGCAAAGAAACAGCCAAAAGGAAATGACCAGATCACTCCCCTGCCTCTGCCACGAGTCCTCTCTGCCAGAAAAACAAAGCCATAAAGTCTATCCCTCAATCTGTGAACACTCAGGTGCCCTGGGTCTCTGCACACTGCCACAGCCAGAACACCACCACGTCTGCTGTCAGGTACCCAGGCCCAGCCATGTCCTGGAGTCACGCCATTGCCGCTAGAACCATTGTAGTTGCTGTATAATTATACAGAACAGAAGGAGGCCATTTAGCCCATTGATCCCGTGCCAGGTCTTTAAAACAGCTATCCATTTAGGTCCAATATCTCTGTCCTTTCCTGTAAATTTGCAATTTCCTTTTTTCCTTAGCCAAATCCTTTTTTAAAAGTTACTAATGAATCTGTTCTGTGATCCCTTCTAGCAGCACATTCTAAATCATCACAACTCGTTTGGTGAAAACATTTCTTTTCATTTTCATTCTGATTCTCTTGCCAATTATCTTAATTCTGTGTTCTTTGATGACCAACTATCAAGCCAGTGGAAGTAGTTTCTTCCTACCTATGCTACCAAGGCTCCTCATAATTTTGAACACCCCTATTAACTCCACAACTAAACTGTTCTATGTCGCTCCAAAGACGACAATTTCTGTTTGTCCAGCTTCTCTAGATAACTGCATTTCAACATGGATTATCTGTAATCAAAAATAAAATATAGAATACTTGCACAAAATCATTGCCCACCATTAACTTGATCAAGAATTAGATTTTTACAGCCCTGAAAAAACCCATTCATCCCATCAGCTCTAGAACTGTCCAATTTAGCCACTTTCCCCCCAAGCCCTGCAAATATATCCTCTTTAATATATGTCCATTTCCTCTTTGAAAGTTCACCTACTGCTTCAGTTGTTCATAAGAACCAAATATTGACAGGATAGAACTTGCTCAATTTTTGTCCCAAAATATTTAATGTTCTGTATTTCATTCTTTTAATAGGATAAAAGATTATCAAAACAAGAAATCCTAGACAATTGGAATATGTTTGTTGGCAGCCAGGCCACCAACTATGGGGAAGATTTGACTCGAAACCATATTGAGTTGTGATAGCAACGAAGGAAAATAAAGTTGGCAGTGTGACAACTCTCCTTCCACTTATAAACACTTAGCATTATTCTATTGAAGATACAGGAGTGGGCTAATGGACTGCAAATACTTACCATTTGTAAAGTTGCTGAAGCTGTTACTCCAATCTCGCTCTCTTAATGTAGTCCATTCTTTACCTCATTAACTCACGGGCTACCTAAGTCCAGATGTTTGTTTACACCATTGATGAGTGAGTGCTAATCCATGTGTGTTGTACAGAACCTTTATTTCAATACATAGTACAGTTGTATAGTATAAAATACTTGGGAATGTTGGGTACATTCATTTATTTTTCTGTTCATTTGGGATATAAGATGCCAGATCATTTCTACCCCGTAATGAAATCTCTTATTGTAAGTAATGAAACACCAGCTAGATCTTCTGCTAGGACAGCCAAGTGTTATCTGGTTGTGTTCTGAATTAATACTACATATGGCGCCAATATGAGAGTGTGCATTACTGAAGATAACATATTCAATTGATTTTAACATTTGCTTCCAAAACTGTGAACTCCACCATTTAGGAGGAAACAGTCAGCAGGTATTTGGGAACATCAGCTGTACATTGTCCTCCAAATCACACACCATTCTGACTTGGAAACACATTGTAATTTCCATCAAGGTCACTGGGTCCTGACCTAATAGCACTGTGGGTGCATCTACACCATACAGCAGTTCAAGTAGGTCGCTCATCACCGGTTTCTCAAGAGCAGTTAGGGCTGGTTAATAAATACTGGTTTTGCCAGCAATCTCTAAATCCTGAGAATGAAGTTATAAAAATCCTGCGATCTGTCTTTTTGAATGGTATTAATTTTCCATTGCTTTTTTTTTGTTCTATACTGATAAACTGTGGAATAATTGAGCCACCATATTCATTGACCTAACTTACATAATGTCTTTGTGTGCATTTCCTGGGAAACTAAACTTCTTCAGTTGGTTCATTCCAAATGATGCAATGGGTCATTTTGTGTTGGGTAATCTGAACGGCTTACCAGGGCACTAGATCTGGCAGGGAGGGACAATGAAAAATCAGTAAAAAGAAACTGACTACCTACGGTTTACGGCACCAAATCATCTATTTTCAGTGATGACAATCAGATTTTTTGGGTAGTTGTTAGTTGTTAGACTTAGATTTGGTCATTCTTTTCAGGTTAGTTGACAAATGTTGTGTTGCATTTATGTAGCATCTCCAAGAAGGGAAAAAACAGTAATACTTGGAAATGGATGTACTGGACCTTCTGTTTGAAGTATGTGTAATTGAAACTTTAATAATTTTTTTTTCTTTGAAGCTTTAATAATGTAATAATCTATGTGATATATTGTGACAGATGGTCAAACAATTGGTCAAGGAAGTAGGTATTAAGACAAGTGGGGGGGCTTTAAGAAGGGAATTCCAATGTTTTGGACCTGGGCAACAGCAGGTACTGCTGATATTGGTGGATCGATTTAAACAGAGCTTAGTAAAAGGCCAAAATTGGAGGAGTGCAGAGATTGTAGAGGGATGTGGAGCTTATGGTGGTTGCAGAGATAGGAAGAGGAGTTCATGGACAGATTTGAACAAAAGAATGAGAATTTAAAAAATGGGGCATAATTGGATTGGGAACCAATGTAAGCCATTGACCACAAAGGCATGAATGAGATTTCAGCAGTAAATGAGCTGAAGGAGGCATAGAGACAGCTGATATTGGGAAGTGGTGGTCAGAAGCTTATCTTGGAGTCATTTTGGTTGTGAACCGACAAGTTCAGCCCAGTTGCCAGGGTAAGGAATGAGCGTGATAGCTTAGGAACTGAGTTTGTGATGTGGGGATGGGGTTGTAGACAATATCTTCCATTTCTTCCAATAGTTAGTTGAAGAAAATTTCTGCTTACCCAGTATTGGATGTGAACCAAGCAATCTGACAAATCAGAGACAGTGTATGTCAAGAGAGGTGAAAGTAAGGTAAAGCTGACTGTGATAACTGAACATACAGAATGCATTTCTTTATGATGTTATATAATGGCAGAATGTAGAAAGTGACTCCAAAGATAGATCTATGGGGGATTACCTGAAGTAGTGATGCAAGAGTGGGAAAAGAAAGCAGGTGATTTTCTGCCTATAACTGGATAATTAGATGCTGTGCTATGACATACAAAAGTATTGCTTCAGATAGAAATGGAGCTAAAGGAGTTGATTAGCACTTTTGCATCTTCTGATCTGTTATGTCTAATTATATCCAAGATTTCTACAATTACTGTCATTTTATGGGATTATAACCAGACTGGGAGCCAAGTGATATGGAGTACTTCCATTTCAAAATCTTTTTTTCTGTGTACACGTAGATGGATTCTTTAATGAAGAATTTAATTTAGTTCAATTCAATTGTACATAACATAGTTCAATGTTGTGGTGTTGGCCTGATACTAAAATTCCTTGCGGCACTGAATGGTGTGTGATAATGTGTAGGGACCATTTTGTGTAAAGAAAAAGTATACTTGCTTCACCTCTGGTACTTCTTGCACTTTCCAAATCAAAGGTGAATGCTCCTTGGTTTGGTGATCACCTTCATCGGCTATTTAAATTCTCCAGAATAAATGTTGCCAATGATTCTAGTGAAAAGCACCAAAACCAACTGCCTTATTTTTGAGTTCTTGTGTTAGCTTGCATTTTTATATACTTTTAGGGTAATAAAACATCTCAAGGTTCTTCAAAGAGTGTGATCAACCAAAGTTTGACATGGTGTTGCAGAAGGAAATTTAAGGACACGTGACTAAAAGTTTCATTCAAGAAAGAGGAAAAAAAAAGACGTAGAGAGGTTTGAGTTTGGTATATTAGAATTAATGCCTAGATAGTTGAAATTACAGCCACTTCACCAGATTAAAATCATAAAACCCAAGGGCATAGAATTGGAGTATCAAAATGTTAGAGGGCTGTATCACCAGAGGAAGGGAAAAAAACGAGGTTGTTTCCTTGCTTGCCAAGCTGGCTGGTTATTGTACAGACGTTATGTCACCATGCTAGGTAACATCATCAGTGTTACCTCCGATGAAGCGATGTTGTTCTGCTCTGCTTGGAATTTATATGATCCGGTCAGTTAAGTTGGGTTGTGTCATTTCTGGTTCTGTTTTGCATGAGTTTGTATATGGGATCTAATTCTACATGTTTGTTGATTACATTACGCGTTGAAAACCAGGCTTCTAGGAATTCCCGTGTGTGTCTGTGGTTGGCTTGAGCTAGGATGGTCACATTGTCCCAGTTAAATTGATGGCCTTCATTGTCCGAGTGTGCTGAGAAAGTTTCTCGTGTCATTTTGCTGCTATCTAGGCACACCTACACACAAACTGGCCAAGGACCTACAACAGGAGACTGAAACACCTGGTCGACAGATCACCCCACTCCATCCGCTCAACCCAGGAATTCCTTAACAAGCTCAAGAACATTAAAATCAGCAATGATGACGTTATGGTATCCTTTGACATCACAGCACTATTCACGTCCATTAACATACCACAACCCAGAGAAACACTTGCCAACATTCACAAACAAAGCTGTGTTAGGACACTATTTAAACAGGCCACAGCCCACTGCAACATGCCAGAACTATGCAAGAAGGAGGAAGAGCAGTTATACAAGATATTTGCTAACAACAGATACCCCAACAACTTCATCCGCAGGTGCATACTAGATATACAATGCTAAGAGAACACAGTATGCCCTAAGACACTGGCCACACTACACTATATCAAGAGCATATCAGAACTGACAACGAGACTCCTGTGACCACTAGGAATCATGTTAGCACACAAACCCACAGCCACATGATGATAAACACTCACAAGGACCAAAAACCCCATACCATGACATGCAGGACCAACATAGTTTATAAAATACCTTGCAGTGACTGCAACAAACAAAACATCAGCCAGACCAGGAGGAAACTAGCCATCAGGATACATGAACACTAGCTAGCAGCAAAATGACATGATGAACTTTCCCTCATCTCAGTGCACTCGGACAATGAAGGCCATCAATTTAACTGGGACAATGTGGCCATCCTAGCTCAAGCCAACCACAGACATGCATGGGAATTCCTAGAGACCTGGTTTTCAACCCGTAACACAATCAATAAATATGTGGAATTAGACCCGATATACAAGCCCATGCAAAAAAGAACCAGAAATGACACAACCCAACTTAACAGACCAGATCATATATATTCCAAGCAGAACAGAACAACATCACTTCATCGGAGGCCACACTGATGATGTTACCTAGGTTGTTGACGAAATGTCTATGCGATGACCAGCCAGCTCAGCAAGCAAGGCAACAATCTCATCCACAACCCGAGCTACAAATCTTCGCAAGGGCTTATAGTGGTAGGGAGGGGTGAAGCCATGGAGCACTTTAAATACAACTTTATATTTTAAAACCCAAATGTTGGCTGGCGGCCAAATTAGGCCAGCAAACATAAGGGTGATGGGTGAACAGAACTTGATGCAAGTTGAGATGCAGACAACATAGCTTTAACTGCCACTAGGCTCATCCAATATGTAGCAAAACAAGTGAAAGGGCTTAATGATTGTCTTGAATGGTCTGAAGTTGCCAGGCTGGATTTGAAGCATTGCACAAACTTTTCTAAAACACTGGCAAAGATGTCGTGCTAAAAATAACAAGTGAGCCAAATAGAAATCCCCCAGTGGGTTTTTCTACATGGGGTGCTTTATAAGTAACTACAGGGATGGAGATAGTAACATCACTTAAAAGCGAAGTATCTGAAAAGATAATTTAAAAGGATAGAGAGAAAGGCAGAGAATGAGGGTGGATAGTTAAATTGAAGAGCTAGCACTATTACAATGATCAAATAGCCATCATCAATAATACAGTTTTCATGGTTTTATGCAGTACCAAACATTTGCAAATTTGTTTTTTTGTCCTAACTGCTACCTTAACATTTCAAATGTATAGTATGAATAATATTTATAGACTGGCGCAAACCAAAATTTTTTTCAGTAAGTAGCTTTCAAAGATACTGTCAGTGGAGCTATTACCATTTACATCATGCATGAAAATAAACCACTTAGATATAACGTTTCTGAAATTCATTGTCTTTAAATAAAATTAAACACCATTATGGCTACAATGATGAGTTGATGATTATTAAGGCTGATGATTGGTACTTTAATGAGCTTATGTCAACCTACTAATAGATGGTCACCAGTTGTCTCGTACGAGTTACCGAGCCAGGTTGCTGTGTAGGTGGCTGAACCTCCTCATTTGAAAATTTTATGGAAAATATTTAATTAATAAAAGGCATTATTCAATGATTTCCTTTTAAAGAGTACAGCATCGTAAAATACTGAGCATTTGTGACATTGAATTAAGTGTCTCATTACATCGCTCTGTGCTCTTGTACATCAATGAAATATGAAGTTGCAAATCTCATTGGGTAACAATAAAGTTCAGGATTTTGTGACTCATTGGGTTAAAGAAAATTGCTGTAAGTTGAGTGATCATGGCAAACAAGATTGAGCTGCCAGCCTGCCACACTTGTCATTGCATAGAACAGCAGGGCCCACTGATTGAGGAAACTCTATAAAAACTGACAGCTGGTTTCTTAGTCAAGGGTCAGCAATCACCCCAAGGCAGCAACCCAGGCAGTTTTGGTCCCCTTACTTAAGAAAAGATATTATTTCATTGGAAGCAGTTCAGAGAAGGTACACCAGGATGATTCTCATTATGGAGGGATTGTCTTATGAGCAAAAGTTAAACAGTTGGAATTCTACTCATTGGAATTTAGAAGAATGAGAGGTGATCTCATTGAAATGTGTAGGATTCTTAAGGGGTTTGACAGGATAAATACTAAGAGGATGTTTCTTTTCATGGGAGAGTCAAGGACCAAAGAGCATAGTTTCAGAATTAAGTGGTGCCAATTTAAGACTGAAATGAGGAGGATTTTTTTCTTCTCAGAGGGTTGTGAGTCTTTGGAACTCCTTGCCACAGACAGCTAGAGGGGCAGAGTCCTTATTTATATTTAAGGCTGAAATAGGTGGATTTTTGATTAGTAGGTGGATCAAGGTTTATGGGGAAGGGGCAGGAAAGTGTACAAGAGAAGTGTTAAATCAGCCACAATCCTACTGAAAGGCAGAGCAGGCTCAAGGAGTCAAATGGCCTACTCCTGTTCCTATTTGTTATGGTCTTAAGACCCAACTGAAATAGAGATGCCAGTTCTGGTTGAACATTATCTTAGGCCATTGCACTGGAATTGGATTAGAAATCTCATCACACAGTGTTTCTGCCACACAAAACAAATGGGCAGGAGGGCAAGGTCTTTATGTTGCTGGCAGCAGTGGAGAGAATGGTAGATGTGAGAACTTAATTGTGCGTGAAACCGAACATCAACTTCCCAACCATGGGATGAAATTATCTTAACCTGCAGCATGATTATCTCACCCAGAGAGTGGTGAACCTGTGGAATTCTCTGCCATTGAATGCAATTAAGGCCAAAATACTGAATGTTTTCAAGAAGGACTTAGATATAGCTCTTTCAACTAAATGGACTTAGGACTAAAGGGATCAAAGTGTATGGGAGACAGCAAGAACAGGGTACTCAGTTGGATGATCAGCTATGATCACATTGAATGGCAGAGCAGGTTCAGTGGGCCAAATGGCCTACTCCTGCTTATATTTTTATTTTTCTATATTTATCTTTAAAGGTGAGTCAAACTTCTCAATGGAAAGTGCAAGAAAGCCCCCTTCACATGCATCTGCACATAATGCATTCTCATTAAAAGGTTATCATGCTAGAATGAATTTACCTTTCTTTGTTAGGTCACACACAAGCAAGTAATACATGCTTTCCAATTCCTGATTTTCTATGTGAAGTGTACCAAGTGAGATAGTCTGTTGAATTAGGTTTGAGCTGTTGCTTTGTTTTCTTTGGTGATTGTTGTTCAGACATTAATTGAGATTGGGTAGGGGCAGGTAGGCAGCCTGGCTGGGGCACGGATCTAGCCAAGGGAGGCTACATGTCAAGAAAAGGGAGAAAAGGTATATAGGGAAAGAGGATGCCTGACGAGAAGTTGGACGGGGGGTCAAGGTCATGTGAAAGCCAAGGAGGCAACTGTCCACCCTATCCTGGCGAAAGGAGACATCTGGAGAAGGATGGAAGGATGTATGGTGCATTACAGTAATCTCCTCATGTATGAAGTGCTTCTTCAGATGGATAGGGGAACAGGTTTTTAGGCAGGGTTGGTGGACGAGAGAGGTTGGTGGTCTAAGGTAGAGTCTGGATGGTTAGATTGAAGGCACTAGGCAGCAATAGGAACAATGACAGTGAGGTGGGAAATGAATGTGATAGATTGGGAGTGTCAAGAGTCACAGTTGGGTAGTGTGGATGGATTTGTGCATTGGGAAGGGGATGTAGCATAAAATGTTGTGGAACAAATGGATAACAGAAGGAGTCAGGGTGGCCCTGGGGATTATGACAGGGAACAGCAGACTTGTGAGTGGTTTTTATAATGGGCTCAAGGGTAACAGGGCAACCATAAAGGTAACAGAGGGGAGTGGTATGCTAGCACTAAATTGATCAAGGATGATGAGGGAAGTTGGTAGGTGAAAGGTTGAGAATAGAATTGGGTAGAAGATCTTCAGAAGGTAGGGTGCACTGTTTTTGTTAACCTGTCTGAGTGAAAGGATCTTTTTATATAGGAGGAGTTACTGGTGTGTGTGGAATTTAGGATCACTAATGATATGCTAATAGCCAGACTGCACCTTCAATGATGTCAGATGACATCACCTCACATTGGACTGGGACCTGATAAAGGAAGGTTCTATTGAAGTTCAGCTTAACCATTGCCTCTGTACATAAATGTTTACATTAATAAATGTTTATCAGTTTGACTCCAGTTATTATGAAGGGCCACTGGACTTGAAACATTAACTCTGCTTTTCTTTCCACATATGTTGTC